CTTGAAAGCTAGAACTGAGGTTTTTTTGGTTGCTTTGTTGACAGTACCTGGCACATTATAGGCCCTCAATAAATATTTGCTGAGTGAACATAGTAGGTTGAACAAGTATTACTATTTCTGTCATGTAGATAAGGAAATGGGGGGTCAGAAAAGCTAAGCAGCTTGTCCAAAGTTGCTCAGTGAGTAGGTGGCACAAACCAGGTCTTCAGGCTCCACCACCGATTTATTTCCCACTTCTTCTTATCTCGCTTTACTCCTGAACACACTTGGCAGTGCATACCCAAAGTGTACCTGGTCAATCCACAAGCTGACTTCTCATCACTATGCCGTGACTTGTAATGCTAGCAACTCCTAAGCTTGAACAGTTAACGAGCAACCTTATCCTTCTTGTCCCAGTGGGTGCCAGTCATAATCTTCAGAAAAAGTTAATGAACTAGACACAAGAAGGACTCTGCGTCTGGAGGTTGTATAGAATGGAAGCCCAACTCAAAATGGCTTATGGAAAGCAGGAATGAGAAAAGTCTGGGGAATCTGGATTCAGGTGCACCTGGATCCTGGGATCAAATGATATCATCAGGCTCTTTCATCCTCCCCTCCCCCCGCTTGCCATTTCTTTTCCCAGCTCTGCATCCTTTGTAGTGGCTTCATTCTTAAGTTCCAGGTAGTGGCCTCTGGCAGCTCTAGGCTTAGTTCTTTCTTACTGCTATCAGTCTCATCAGAAAGAGAGTTTTCTATCACTTTGACTCCAACAAAGATCCCAGAATTAGGTATCATTGGATAGGTGTGGATCACGTATCCATTCTTTTTTTTTTTTTTTAAGATTTTATTTATTTATTTGACAGAGAAAGACACAGAGAGAGAGGGAGCACAAGCAGGGGGAGCGGGAGAGGGAGAAGCAGGCTTCTTGCCGAGCAGGGAGCCCGATGCGGGGCTCGATCCCAGGACCCCGGGATCATGACCTGAGCCGAAGGCAGACGTTTAACGACTGAGCCACCCAGGCACCCCTCATGTATCCATTCCTGAGCCAATCACTGTGTCTGTGGATTTGGGAATTGCCGATTGGCCAGGCTCATCTGAGATGGATGCGATGGCCAGTTTCTGAAATGGCCCTCAGTGACCTTGCCTTCAGATATTCATGCCCTTATATGGTCCCCTCCTACACTAAACCAAGGCTATGTGAACAATAGTAATACAACTGAAGTGATGCCCTGTGACTTCCCAGCCTAGGTCATAGAGGTGTTGCTGCTGCTTTTTTTTTTTTAAGATTTTATTTATTTATTTATTTATTTATTTATTTATTTATGAGAGAGAGTGAGAGAGCACATGCAAGCGGGGAGAGGGACAGAGGAATAGGGAGAGAGAGAATCTCAAGCAGACTCTCCACTGAGCATGGAGCTTGATGCAGGGCTTGATCCCAGAACCCTGAGATCGTGACCTGGGCTGAAATCAAGAGTCGGACACTTAACTGACTGTACCACCCAGGTGCCCTAAGGAGAGAGAGAATCTTAAGCAGCCTCCATGCCCAGCGTGAGCTTGATGCAGGGCTGGATCTCACAACCTTGAGATCATGACCTGAGCCAAAATCAAGAGTTGGATGCTTAACCAAGTGAGCCACCCAGGCGCCCCAGTATTTTATTATTTTCGATGCTATTATAAATAGAAGTGTTTTCTTAATTTCTTTTTTTTTTTTAAAGTAATTTCCATACCCAACATGGGGCTCAAACTCATGACTCTGAGATCAAGAGTCACGTGCTCTTTTGACTGAGCCAGCCAGGCACCCCATGATAATTATTGCCTTAAGTCACTGAGTTTTGGGGTGATTTGTTGAACAGCAGACATAACTAACAAAATTACTTATCCCTCAACTTTGGGTAAGGAATCAGTCCTACTCCATGTGGACTGAAGTGGAAGGAATGATTCCCTGAGGAGTAATCAAATTGCTGTTAGTGGGAAGGTGAAGAGAGGAAATGAACATTGGGTGAGCCACACAACAGCTAACCCAACAATGGGTTCTCCATGGACACATACTTGCTGAAAGAGTGAAGCACTAAGATGATACTATTTCATTTTAGGTGGCTCCGAGCATCGGGGCCGTGGGATTCAGGCCCAGATAGTCCTATGCCGATTTTCCAGCTCCAACTACTGACAGTTTTTCTCCCAAGTTATCCCTAGACTTGATTGGTTACGGGCACCACAGACAATTCACTTTCATTGTCAACCTAAATATTTGCTCTTAAAGTAAGCTATTTGTTGTTTTTCTTTTCATCTAGAGAATTGAAGCCCCCAATTCCTCCATATTGTGTGACTAATGTATAGCTTAAGGCTTCTTCTGTTAAAATGGCTTTTTAATTTAATTCAATTGGACATATGTTAGCTTAGACAAAGATGTCTCCTTTGGAAGTTCACATTCCTTATTAATCTCTTCTGGCAAAGAAGAGGAAACAGAGATAAAGGAAATATAAGGGTCAACACTCCAACCAATAGGGAATCTCCTTCCTTCCTTCCTTCCTCTCCAATAAATTTCTGGAGCACCTATCACGTACCCGGCATTGTCTATATTATCTCATTAAACCTCCTGATGATCATGAAATGGGTATTAATGACCCCTTTTAACAGCTGAGGAAACTGAGACACATTTGGAGAAGCTAGTTGTCTTATTGGTTGATTTGTCTTTTTACAGTTCTGTTACTTAGCTCCAAAACCTTGGTGATATTAATAGCCATAAGGAAAGACGAAACTCACCCATACATTTTTGCCAGAAGTCTTATTTTAAGTTTTCTCTGCGCCAGAGGCTGCTACTCATGATTTCCTTCCAACCAATCACCAAAATACAGATTATATTTCCTGTGTGCCCAATGTGTGTGGTGCCAGAGGGAAAAAACATGGAGTTTCTGGCAACTTTTCTGCCCCTTCTGTTACCAGACTGAAGTGGGTCTACTCCTTGGTGAGTTATAAGACAGAGACTACATCAGATGGAGTTGCCATACACGTCATCTTTATTTGTACAAATAAGGAGATTATGGGGAATAATTTCCAAAGCCGCGACTCTCCAAACAAGGGAAAGCAGGGTCCTTGGGATGAATACTCAAAAGGGGATTTCAACATTACAACGAGGCTGAGGTAACTGTTGGTCATTTCTAGCACTTTCTGATTCATCTCTGCATGCATCTTCCCTCAGATGTTTCTTTTTCTGTTCTGGCAGTTTGTTAGTTTGTTTCTAAAAAGTACGGTAGACAGGCAGAAGCACCTAGGAGTTTAGTTCCTACAAGGTAAAATGGACAGTGAAGCAGAAGCTTCTAGAAATTTCCTGAGTTCCTGGGTCAGGCTGGTGACACTTCCATATCAGTAGATGATCAATTTTGCCTGAAAAATGGCGGCAATTAAGGGAAGCACCACTGTTTTGACACAGTTTGCAGCATTTGGCCACAGAATTCTTCCTGGACTTGAGACCCCCAGAACTTAGGCAAGCCCTTGGTAGAGAGGTTATGAGGGCAAACTCTGGAGCTAGACAAAGCTGGGTTCAAATCCCCAGTCCATCAACTTACAAGCTTGGTGACCCTGGTTTGGTCTCTAAACCTCTCTATAAAGTGGGATGATAATAGTTTTTGTCTCTTACAATTCTTTTTTTTTTTAGGATTTTATTTTTAAGTAATCTCTACACCTAAAATGGGCCTCAAACTTACGACCCCAAGATCAAGAGTCACAGGCTCTACCAACTGAGCCGGCCAGGCATCCCCTGTAATTCTTTTTTTTTTTTTTTAAGATTTTATTTATTTATTTGACAGAGAGAGAGAGAGAAAGAGCACAAGCAGGGGGAGCGACAGACAGAGACAGAGGGAGAGGCAGGCTCCCCACTGAGCAAGGAGCCCAATTTGGGGCTTGATCCCAGGACTCTGGGATCATGACCTGAGCCAAAGGCAGATGCTTAACTGACTGAGCCACCCAGGCGTCCTGGCAGTGGTGGGTTTTGAGTCCTTAACTGTGTGCTAGGCACTGAGATGAAGCCAGGGTTCATCTTTTTTAACTAGCTTTCTGTGATGATTCTGATGCACAGCTGGACTTGGGAAATACCAACCCTATACCACCGAAGACATTCTGTGGAAAATTTGCATTTGGCTTTTAAGATAGTTATACCACATGGGGAGCCTGGGTGGCTCAGTTGCTTGGGCGTCTGCCTTCAGCTTAGGTCATGATCCCAAGCTCCCTGGATTAAGCCCCACATCGGGCTCCCTGCTGAGTGGGGAGCCTGCTTCTCCCTCTGCCTGCCACTCCCCCTGCTTGTGTGCTCTCTCTCTGTCAAATGAATAAAATCTTAAAAAAAAAAAAAGATAGCTATAGCACAGCCTTCTTGATTTAAAACAAAAAACAAAACCCTTTTGTATTGCATACACACAGAAATGTGCACAACTCATAGGTGTACAATTTGATGACTTTTCCAAATTGAACACATCTATGTAGCTACCCCAAGAAGAAGACATGGAATGTCCCAGTCTCACTTGTGGCCCCTTCCAGTCACCAGCCCCAGAGGTAACCACCATTCTAACCCATCACCACTCACTAGTTTTGCCTGTTCTAGAACTTCCTATAAACAAAATTGTACTACTTTGCTTTCTTTTGCTCAACATCATGTTCATGCTTCTGACTTGTTAAAACTACTCTTTTGGATTAAATGTGTAAAACGATGACTGAGAAGGTTAGGAAGGAGATGGAAGCCTGAGATCCTGAAAGACCAGGAACAATACTTGGATTTTCTAAGAGGTGGAATCTCTGGAAGACAGGAGGGGGAAGGGGGCGTGGTTATAGTCCGGCCTGTTCTATGTGGGGGCGGAGTCTTAAGCCTGGGGGCGTGGCCACTGGCCCGTTTTCCCGGCGGCCGTTGGCACCGGGGGCGGGGCCCGCCGAGGCTTCCTGTCTGCGCCTGCGGAATCGCCGTTTGACCCCGGAAGTGCCGGCTCACTGGGAGCTGTCACCGTGGACCGCGGCAGCGGCGGCGGCGGCAGCGGTGGCCGTGGCGGCGGCACAGCGCCGGTAGTGGAGCCGCCGAGGTGAGTGCGTGGCTGGGCCCTGCCGAATGGGGGCATCGGGCCTGGGACGAGCCGCGGCCATGCCTCAGGTGGCCACGAGCCTCCCCATCTGCCTGGCGGGGCCGAGACTGATGCTGCCGGAGGGGCCGTGAGTCGCCCCTGAGGCCAGGCCGCTAGAGCCGGGAGTCTCGGGTTCGAGGCTCAGCCCCAGAGTGATGAGTCACAGTCCTCCTACCCTCACTCCGGATTTCAGTTTCCTTGGAATTCATTCATTCGTTCAACAAATGTATGTCCATCGCTTCCTACGTGTCAGCCACAGATCCAGGCACTGGGGATACAAACAGCAAGACAGATAAGCACCCTCCCTCATGGAGCATACAGTCCAGTGGGAGGAGACAGTCAACGACAAACAAAGGCACAAGATAATTAAAGATACGGCAGTAACTGCGGAGTGAATACTTTAGATTGGGCAGTCTGGGAAGGCCTTTGAGGAAAGTAATATTGAATTGAGACCAGAAGGGTGATGACAGAGAAACTGAGGCAGCATTTGCCCTGGGGTTGCTCCCAGGTCTTACTGTAATTAGTGCTTGCACCAAGCTCACCTTCTAAAGAAAGCCCTTTTTTAAGTTTGGACTTCTGCTGCCCTGCTTGGCATGAAGGATGCAGTGGTGGGCACAGATTTCATCACGATCAATGTCCTTTTCCTTTTCGAACTCTTCTCATCTTCGCCTAGTTAATTTCTACCCATACTTTAGATGAAAACTCGGATCTTCCTTGACATGCTCCCTCCCTCATGTCTGTTCTCTGTTAAATGCTGTCACAGCCCCGTGTGCCTGATTTATATAGCATACATCGTGGTATTCTATTAGTTTGTATGGCTATTTGATTCATATCTGTCTTTTGCATGAAGACTGTAAGCTCTGTGAAGGGCAGGACCAAATCTGTTATTTGCCCACTTTGGTATTCTTCAGGCTTCAGTGCCTGGCACATAGTAGGTGCTCAAAAGCGTTTTGAATGGCTGAATGAAATTATTAACATGGTCTTTGCTCTCCAGTGGTTCATAGGCAGTCTCTCTGCCACCGGGTTATTGTCTTTTCTTTCCGATTATATCTCTTTTCTACTTAAATGACTCCTCACTGCCTTTAGATGAAAGGCCAAAATCTTCAGCGTCACGTTGGAGGCTCTTTTTAAAGTGTCTTCACCTTTCCTATCTAACCTCCTCTCTCAACTTCCATCATCCCCTACCTGACCTTGTGTTTTCAGCCATACCAAATGTCTCACTCTTCTTTCAAAGCCACTGGTTCTGAGCCTGTGTTCACACTTGCTCTTTGCTTGGAATGCCCTTCCTCCCCATCCTTTCCCCCTATCCTTCAACAACCAGGTTATGGGTCACCTTCTCGGAGACATCCTCCCTTTCTCTCTTGTGCTTGTTTTGAAAATTTCCTGTTACGGCTGTGATCACCCTGAATGATAGTCATTTACATGCCCAGGACCCAGAACGTATTCAGTCAGCCTTTTCTGAGTAAATGAGGAAGTCCAAAGTGTTGTGCCTATGGTTGGGACTTGTAATCACAAGTAAACTTTATTGAGTGTTTATTACGTGCCAACTACTGTGTTGAACACTTAGCATTGATTACTTCTCACATCTCAGTTTTACAGATGAGGAAATCAAGGCTTAGAGAGTTTAAGGAACGGTCTCCAGGTCTCAAACATGGGTAGGAAAAGTTGGAGCCGGGATATGAATCCAGGTTACAGAACTGTAAAGCTTTTAACCACCACACCAGCCTGAGTCTGAACTGCCTTTACAGGCACTGGCTTGTAGGAGTGGATTTCTTCTGAAATCAGGCGCTGTCTCTACCTGTCTAGGCCTGGCCTCCAGGGCCTAGAAGTTAAAGGATGAAGAGCCACTACCTACTATGGCTCTTTCCCCAACCTAGGTCCCTACATTGGACAATCCCACAAACCGTCTTTGGCAGGTAAACATGGAAAGAACTGGGCCTGTGAGTCATTTAGACTTCTGGACTGGCGAGCAGACCCCTGGTGTTTTCAGCTGCCCTCCCAGCATCCCTGGGGGGTTAGGAAAGAAGTATTTTTAGTCTGTTCAGCACAAAAGATCCAGGTGCCAAGGAGAAGGGCTGGGCTTCAGTTTCAACTTGGTTACTAATGTATCTGCTTTGGGCAAATCAGAGCCCCTCTTTGGACGTCTGAGCGTAATAGTCCCTTGTGAGAGGCTAGTACAATAGTAACTGGATTAGAAGTAACGTCTGTGCAACATGTGTATATTATCTAAGTTTTGGAAAGCTGAAAGGTGAAAATTCAGCCAAGCCCCTTTCATTACTTCACACCTTACGATTTTTTTTGAGGCCACCTCATGTGTGCAGGACCACATGTCTGACCCATGGAGATCCCAGACCTGGAACAGGCCTTGAGGACTAGAGAGAGTGGTCCTGTCTCTTTTACATCCTCTAGAATGGATATCTTCACAGTCTTTAAAACAGCCCATGAACCGGGGCACCTGGGTGGCTCAGTCGGTTAAGCAGCTGCCTTCGGCTCAGGTCATGATCCTGGGGTGCTGGGATCGAGCCCCACGTCCGGCTCCCTGCTCAGCAGAGAGCCTGCTTCTCCCTTTCCCTCTGCCTGCCACTCTGCCTACTTGTGCTCTGCCTACTCTCTCTCTGTCAAATAAATAAATCTTAAAAAAAAAAAACAGCCCATGAACTAGGGTTCCTTGTTTACCAAGCTGCTTCCTACCTCCCTACCTTTGCTCCTACTCCTACCTTTCCTCTGCCTGGAGCACCCTCCTTCCTGGCTAATCTCCACTATCAGGACTCAATTCAGGCTCTTCTGATCATTTAGGCTCCCCAGAAATGCTTTCTTGACAGCAATACCCCCTGCAAGCTCAAGTACACTAGACTCAGTACAGCAAATGGTTAAGAGCCGGCCAGCTTCACCAACTACTAACTGAGTCCCAGGGCGAGTTTCTTATCTTCTCTGAGTCTCTACTTCCTCACTGATAAAATGGAGATAAAAATGACCTAACTTTAGAGTTGTCCTGAGCATTAATATATGCAAAGCTAGTTAATGCTGAGAAAAGCCCTAGGGAAAGCACCAGCACATGATAAGCATGTTCCTGCTGCTGCCATTATCGTTGTAATTATTGGGCCGTAAGCTCCTGTGGGGCAGAGACCCTGCATTATCACTCTGTCTTAATAACTCCAGAGCCTGGCCTGATATCTGAGATATGGGACATCCCATAACTCATGGCTGACCGTGCCCCTCAGCTTATCTGTGAGGTTCTCAGAAGGTGACGGATGGTTTCCTCATCCCAGCCTCAATATGTCTTTGTGTTGTCATTGAGACCGTGCTGGGCTTGTATGGCATGTCTTCTAAGGGTCCTACTTCACTTCCATTCCATGATCCAGCCAATATGCATGTCCCCTCTGTGGGGCAGGCCAAGTAGAATCATGGAAAGAACATTGGATGGGAAGACGAAGAGATATGGCGTCTGCCACTCACTGACTCAGAGGCAGGCTTGGGCCTCTGCAGAAAAGAGCTTGCACTGGCAGGTTTCTGTGAATTCTCTCAACCTCTCTGGTCCTTCTGTTTATCCACATCCTTCTTCCCTGGAGCCTAGGAAGGTTGTAAAATCTTAAAACCCTCTACAAGTGAGGAAAGGCCCATTCCTCCATCCCTGAAAAGACTGCAGATCTGCTTAGAATTATAAGAAAAGTGTCCTTATATTGAGTCACTCATCAAACAGTTGATAAGGCCAACTCTGTACCAGGCCTGTGCTGGTCACGGAAAAGATAGCAAGAGGAGAGCCCAGGCACTGTCTTCAGAGAGCTCCCAGGCTGAGGAGGGCATAGAGCTGGAGCCCTAATAAAGATCATCTAGGTCCTTTTAGTCAGTACTTCACAAAAAGGGTGGGAATGTTCCAGGAGTCACCTGGCGAGTGTCTTCCTCCTCAGTTGAGAGCTCTTGCTTTAGGCAGAAAAGTCACCTCCGTCTGGATTAGTAGGTGCAGGCACCAGGCCTTTGAGGCTCAAGTCAGGAGCCTCCTGAGGCCAGAGGGTGAAGCTTCTCTCCTGGCTCTGGGATCAGTTCCAGGGCCGGCCCCTGCCACCAGGAGCCTATGTGTCTGCTCTCTTCTTCCCATCCATATTCCTTTCAGGAGGGTCACGCAGCACAATGCCAGCTCTGCCCTTGGACCAACTCCAGATCACCCACACGGACCTGAAGACAGGAAAACTGAGGACTTCACCAGCGCTGGTGAGCCGGTACCTTGAGGCCGTTCAGCCTGATACTATCATTCTTGCAATTTCAGAAGCAAAAAGCAAATTCCTCCTTTATCTGTTCCGAGAATGACCCGAGGGCCACAGTCAGTAATTCAGTAGCTGGGACACTACTAGGTCCTTCCAGGCCCAGTGCAGAAGTTTCCTTTCTGAACAGCAGCTTGAATTTGAGTAGTATTTTCCATGTTGCCACCCTGTACCTTGCCTCCAAAGCATTTCATTTTGAATCAGAGTCTGATGGCGGTTGGGACTCAACCTGAGCTGGCCTAGAAAAAGATCCGGCCCAAAGCCAGGTTTGGGGATTTGACCCTGCGGGAAGCGTTCAGGTTTCAGGTAGGCCTTTTTTCGGAGCCATCTCCCCTGCTATCCACACTTCAGGGGGAACACCAGTTTCAGGGGTCAGGCTGCCTTTTATCACAATGGGCTAAGAAGCGCCACCTGCCACATACCAGCTCTGCAGGGCTTGGGAGACTGAAAAATAAGGAGGCTGTGAGCGTGCCGATTACCAGCTGCAGAGTGAGATTAGGGCTGCGGAGAGGTGCCAGGCTGAAGGAGACAGAGGTGGGGACTGGAGTCCCCACACCCACTTACCATTTTCCCAAGAATATGAGCTTACTTGAGCAAGGTGGGAGGAAATATTTTCTAGGGGGGCTTGAGTAAAGTCATGGGAAACAAGAGCTTGGTGTTGGATTTCCTGCTTTCTGGATGGCTTCTTATTACTTCCTAACTCCTCTCTGATAATAGGACTTAACATTTATAGGGCACTTGCTCTGGGCCAAATCTTTCTAAACACTTTACCTGGATTATCTTGTTTAAGCCCTGTGAGTAGGTATTTGATTGTTCCCATTTCACAGATGAGGAAACTGAAAGTTCAAGGTCACAGAACTAGGAAATTAAGGGAGCCAGGATAGGAAGCCAGGTAGACTGACCCTGGATCTCATACCCTTAACCTTTCTGCTATAAAGCCTGCCATTTCTTTTTTATAACCTTTTATGTGAGAAGGATATTTTTTTTTTAAAGATTTTATTTATTTATTTGAGAGAGAGAGAATGAGAGATAGAGAGCACGAGAGGAAAGAGGGTCAGAGGGAGAAGCAGACTCCCTGCTGAGCAGGGAGCCCGATGTGGGACTCAATCTCGGGACTCCAGGATCATGACCTGAGCCGAAGGCAGTCGCTTAACCAACTGAGCCACCCAGGCGCCCGTGTGAGAAGGATATTTATCAGAAAATCTGGATCTATTCTGCTCAACATGGTAGCCACCCAGTGCAGTAGTCATTCACCACAAATAGGGATTTGGCACACTTGAAATGTGGATAGTTTGAGGAACTGCATTTTTTAATTTAATTTTAGTTAATTTAAATTAAAACAGCCCATGCGGTGAGTGCCTACAGTATTTTGCCAGCACAGGTATAGAACAGTTCCATTAACACAGAAGGTTCTGTTGGGCTGGGGGAGACGGATCCTTAAGTAGTTGACTCTGATTTTCCACCTCAGTCCTTCCCCATGTACTTAATACCTGGGTTGCTAGGCTGTGGGCTCCATGAGAACAGGAACCTGGTCCCTTCCCTTCATTATATAAGGTTTCCCAGTGCCAGGTGCCTTTCTTTCAGGAAACATTCAGTAAATGAGTCAAGGACTCCAGCCAGGCCTTGTGCCAGACCCTGGAGCTACAGAGAAAAAAGACATGGTTCCTGCCCTTGTGGGGTCTATGGACTAAGAGAAAAGCAGACCAGTAGCTCCTCCACAGTGTGATCAGGGTTGTTTTAGAAGCGGCTACATGAATGCAGAACCCAGGCCACTGATCAGACTGAAGGAGTGGGTGGGGCAGGGAGGTCTTGGGGCTGGTGGGAGGGCATGTGCAGCTAGGGAAGGCTTCCTAAGAAGGAGGGGGATCCTGAACTGGGTATTGGAGGGGGAATAAACACTAGCCATGCAGAGCAATGGGAGAAGGATGAACCTGGCAGGAGGACCCAAGTATTCCGTCCTGGAGTCTGGAGAGCCCGACTCCTACACCAACCACCAGTCACTTGGCGTAGAAGCAGTACCATTGAGTTAAGGAGCACGAGCTTTGTGTTAAATCTCACACATACTTAGCCACGTAACTAGAACATTGTAAGCACTCAGTGATGGTGATGATGATGACAACAGTGACGGTGGCAGAAGGTTCGAATGGGGAATAGGGTGGGAAGAGGGAGTAGCTGAGGGAGACAGCTGCCTGATGAAGGAGTGGTCTTGTTGAAGAGACTTGTACCCACTGTATATTTGTCTCTTTAGTCCCAACTTAGGGCAAGGAGATCTCTAGCCAAGGGACAGCCACCACGCTGCCTTTGCAGGGTGATAGGTGGAGCTAATGTTTATCGAGTAGCTACTGTGCACACAGCACACACTTGGTGCTATTGAAAATCCAAAAGAAATAAAGTCTTGAGCCACAATGAGTGAATGGGCTGTTGAGGAAGACAAGACTCATGTAAGTGGAACATGTAGGGAACAGGGCGAAATGGGTTTTTAGTGAGATCAGCAGAACAGAAGTTTGATGGGCAGAGAATGTCCAGAAAGCTTCACAGAGCAAGTGGGACCTGAGCCAAGCTCGAAGGGTGGAAGATACAGCTGGGGCCTGCTAGTCTCTGCCCTGAAATCTCCCACGGCTCCTGTCACCTACAGAATAAAGTCCTCACTCTTGAGTTTGGCATTCAGGGTCCTTCAAAGAACTTAGTGGGATCTGGTCCTTCATGACCCGCATTCATGCTTTGTCCAGCCAGCAAATGTATACGGAGAGTCTGCTCGATGCCAGACTTGTTCTAGGGACTGGGAATGCTGTGGTGAGCAAGGCCCAGACTGCTTCCGGAGACCTACAGGCTAGTAGGGGAAACAAAGAAGGCATGCCCTTCCTTTTCATATAACTTTATTGGGGCATGATTGAAAGACAATAAACTGCACATATTGAAAGTATACAACTTGGTTGGTGTTGACATTAGTATACACCTAGGAAACTCATCATAATCAAGATAATGAAAGTTTCTACCGCTCCCAGAAAGTTTCCTTGTGCCCTTCTGTGACCCATCCTTTCTTCTCTCCCCATGTGCAGCAGCCACTGATCTGGAAAGTACTTTTGATGCAGTTCAGCGGGTGCTGTGGTTGGGGAAGCACAGAGTGCAGGTATTGGGGGAGCCCAGGTGAACACCTAACATGTTCAGGGGTGGGAGTTGGGGAGACTTCCTGGAGTAGGTGAGGTCAGAGCTGGGATCAGAAGGCTAAGCAGCGAGACCAGGACAGCACGTGGGTACTGGAGGTCATTCAGCAGTCTGCAGTGTAAGCTTTGGTTCAAGTCCTGCCTCAGTTGCCTCCTTAGCCCTGTGACCTTAGCAAAATTCCTGAACCTTACTGATTCTTTGTTTCCTCCTCTGTAAAATGGGGAGGATAGTATCTCCCTTTTAAATAGTTATAGATGAAAAATAGGCTGTGGGACATACCTACTCAGCAGCCGGCATAGGGCAGGTCTAGTTAAGTGGTGGCCTTTATTATCACCATTCCAGTGTTCTCTCCCTCCATATCTATTTCCTACCACCCATGCAATCTGGGCCCTTTTTTTTCATGGCGCATTTTTATGCCTCCATAATATACCATTTCTTCCATCAAAAAATCCATCTCATTTCCAAGGCCCAGCTTAGATGCTGCTTGCCCCAGGAAGTTGTCCCTTGTCCTCCAGGTGCAGATAATCACCCTTGGCCCTCCCACAGTCCCTCTGCCAGGTTTGCGCTGTCACTTTCTCTGTTTTATGCTCACTTACTGGCTTAGATGTGCATCTCCCCCTCCGGAGCATAGGCTCTGTGAGCATGCAGATGTTTTCTCCATGTGCCTCACCACACAACAGTGTGCCAGTAAATGTTTGTAGGAATGCAAGGATGGCCAATCTCAGGATGTGTGTGTGTGTGTGTGTGTCTGTCTGTCTGTCTGTCTCTCTGTCAGAGGAGTAGGAGGCGATGAGTAGCCCTGCCTAAGAAGTGACCTAAGAGATGAGGTGTCAACGGAAAGACAAGGGGAGCAGCGTGGAAGCCAGGGAGACAAAATTAGGTCCTAGAGAGTAGTTTTGAACTTGTTTCAGTCAGCAGGATTCCCTTTTTCAAAGTTTGTCCCTGGAAGCCCACTGTATAAATTCTGATTTCAATGGGAGGGGTCCTGAAGACCCACCTGATAGGGGCCCCCGAGGAATCCTTGTGGGACCCAAAGACGCCACAGTTTGAAAACTTGCATCAGGCAGTAAGGAGGCCTAGGGGGTTCTTGAGGAAACCAACCAATCAGTCATGATTTTCCTGTCCCCCTGGACTGACAGACCTGGAAGTGGGTGGATTATGGTTGATAACTGCTGATACGTTGCCCGGCCTTCCTCCTATTACCACTTCCCCCGGAGAAAGCAGCCCTTATGTAGTCAGAGGAGAAAACTGAGCTCATCATCTCTTCTTTATGGTGAACAAAGTAAGGTTTGTTCATGGCAAGGTAAGGGTTGGGAGAGAGAACTTGTGATTCTAAGCTGAGACCTGCAATTACTTGATTAGCATCTTTTCTTTAAAAGCAAAAAGTTACCGAGGTTTTTTTCCCCTGATTCTAAGGATATAGCATGATATATACAGTATGGTACTATTTATATAAGAAAGATGAAAAGAGATCTAAAATACCTTCTATGGGTATATTTGCCCGTAAAAGCCTAGAGAAGGTCTGCAAGGACACTCACCTAATGGTGAGTGGTCACTCCTGGGAGGATGTGGGGGCTGGGAGTGTGGTCCCAGAAGACTCACCTTCTCTGCAGGGTTGTAAGTTTTGAAAGAAAAGATGTGCATGTCTCCCTTGTATAATTACAAAATAACTTAAAAAGTAATACATGTATATGTTTTTTAAATTGGAAAATACATTCCAGTTATAATGCCCCCCTCCAAAGATAACCACTATTAGCTTTGGTATGTTAACTGCATTACTGCATTCCCCACCCGCCAGGCCCGGCTGTTGATTTTTTTTTTTTTAACCTGGGTTAAAAATATATACTTCTTTAAAGATCCCCAAACTGATTATATATTAAATAGGTTTGTGTCCTGCTTTCTCTTCCCTTGACCTTTCCCCATGTCATTAAATATCCTCTAAAACACATATTTTTTAATGCCTGCCTAGCGTTCCCTGGATGCAACCAAGCCCCCTTTGTTAGAGACACTTGGTTCTTTATGCTTAAAAACTCCTTGGAGGGTCACCGGTTGGAACAGCCAAGTGTTGTCATTGCTGTGGGTTGGCAAATGGGCCCTCGCTGACTAACCTCTGCCACGTTAACACGTGGTTTTTGGATCCGTAGCACCCCGAGCAGAAGGCAGACCGGTATTTTGTGTTATACAAACCGCCCCCTAAAGACAACATTCCCGCCCTAGTGGAGGAGTACCTGGAACGCGCCACCTTCGTAGCCAATGACCTCGACTGGCTCCTGGCCTTGCCTCACGATAAATTCTGGTGCCAGGTAACATTCTATCAAAATTAACACTAAGACAAAGCACATGACATGCCGTTGGTTGGTTGCTGTTGTTGTTTTTCTCCCCCTAGGAGATGCTTTTTTTCCTACTTCTTACACTGGATCCTTAACAGCAAATTGTGGTTTGGATTGCTCTGTCTTTTATCACAATCTTAATGATGTTTACACAACGCCTTCCAACGTGTCATTTTTAGAAACTTGTGTTTAGCCCTCGGCTCATTCATACCTCTTTAGTCCCTTGGGGTTGGAGTGTTTGCCTCAGGCCAGGGCTGGTAGGCCGTGAACCCCTGCGCAGTCCACCCACAAGCCCTTGGGCCTCAGTGACAAATCCTCGCTCTGATCTGTTGTCTGGCATAGGTTATCTTCGATGAAACCCTGCAGAAGTGCCTGGACTCCTATCTGCGCTATGTACCCCGAAAGTTCGATGAGTGGGTGGCCCCGGCCCCTGAGGTTGTTGACATGCAGAAGCGCCTCCATCGAAGTGTTTTCCTCACTTTCCTCCGCATGTCCACTCACAAGGAATCCAAAGTAAGCCCCTGATCCCACAACAGGGCATGACCCGACACCCAGCACCTCTGTGCCAGAGCCTCCCGCCCCTGGGAAGGAAGGCTCTGGAAGTACTGCGTTTCCTCTTTGTCTCCCCTCTGCCTTCATTCCCACCTTTGGGGAAGAAATCTGTGGCCACCCCCCCTTATCTGTGAATTCGCTGGGTCTGCATTACATCCAGTGTTTTCATCAGTGGGAGCTGAGGGCCCTTTGCCAGTTGACGCGTGACTGTGCCTTTTTTCATGCGTCAGAGGGTGAAAACATTGATTCTGATTTGTTAAAGGAACTTTTATGTGCTTTTTAAAAACCTTTACTTTTCTCCCTCTGGATTTAAAAATAAGGCTGTCTCTAAACAACTCAAACATTACAGAAATATTTTGTAGATAGTGAAAGTCACCACAAAATCCCTTTCCCCAAAAATAACCACCATTATGGTGCATGTTCCTTCAGGGAGTTTTTTTCCTTTCAGTATATTTGTGTGTGTGAGTGCATATTTATTTTTACGATAGGATCTTGCTTTTTTTTTTTTTTAACTTTTGTAGTATGGAAATTTTCACCTATATGCAAAAGCGTAATGAATCCCATGTACCTATCACCCAGCTTCAACAATTATCAATATTTTGCCAAACTTATTTTCTTTCCTCCTGAGTTTTTTTCCCCTAGAGTATTTTTTTCCCCCAGAGTATCTTTTTTTTTTTTTTTTTTAAGGGAGAGAGAGCGAGCGCGAGCGTGTGAGCGAGTGCAGGGGTGGCAGGGGGGTGGGCAGAGGGAGAGGGAAAGCAAGAATCTTAAGCAGGCTCCACACCCAGTACAGAGCCCAACACGGGGCTCAATCTCACAACCCTGAGATCATGACCTGAGCCAAAATCAAGAGGTGGACACTTAACTGACTGAGCCACCCAGGTATCCCTTTTATTTTATTTTATTTTACTTTATTTTATTTTAAGGATTGTATTTATTTATTTGACAGAGAGAGAGACAGCGAGAGAGGGAACACAAGCAGGGGGAGTGGGAGAGGGAGAAGCAGGCTTCCTGTGGAGCAGGGAGCCCGATGCGGGGCTCGATCCCAGGACCCTGGGATAGGCAGACGCTTAACGACTGAGCCACCCAGACGCCCCTTTCCTGGAGTATTTTAAAGCAATTCCAAACATCACAGTAATTTACCCATAAATATTTTTATTTTATTTTTTTTAAGTAGGCTCTATGCCCAATGTGGAGCTTGAACTTAAGACCCCAGGATCAAGAGTTTCATGCTCTGCTGCCTGAGCCAGCCGGGCACCCTAACCCACAAGTATTTTAGAATGAATGCCCAACCGACTATTTAATAGCATATGTTTGCTTCTTTTTACATTAAAATGAAGCATAGCTATTGCTCCAGGTCAATATATGAGGCTCAGACATGTCCACAGTGTGGATGGACCTCCACTTATTAGCCAGTTGCCCGTTGTTCCTTGTGAGTTTGCTATTACTTTACCAAGAGTATGCTTTCGGAAAGTCTCTCATCCTCTTTCTCTGCACCGTTCCTTAGGATCACTTCATTTCCCCCTCTGCATTTGGAGAAATCCTCTACAATAACTTCCTGTTTGACATCCCAAAGATCCTGGACCTCTGCGTGCTCTTTGGAAAAGGCAACTCGCCTTTGCTCCAGAAGATGATAGGTACGTAAGGCACAGGGCCTGGAGGGCTGCACAGAGCTGGCCCCCATATGCCAAACTAGAGCACCTAGGTGAGTGCAGGGGGATTCAGAACTGCAGTGGCGGATGGGGCTTGGACGTGACTTCGCACATACATGCCTGTCAACTCCGAAAGACGTAACTAGGTGGCCCTGGGGGAGTAGAGACAACACTTTACCCCACGGTCCCTCAAGGATCTTAGTATTAGGCCACATGTCAAACAGTTGAAGGAGTGGGGAGGTTTGCTTTGGCGGTGAGAGTAGGAACAACAGTGATTGCTAACCTTTAGGTGAGTGCTCACTGGGGGCCCAGCACTCTGCCGAGCTCCTTGTATGTGATCTTAAATTGATCCTCACAGTAGCCCTGGAATGTGACTCTGTAATCATCCCTATTTACAGACAAGGAAACTAAGGTTAAAATGTAAGGGACTTGCCTGAGAGCCCATGACTAATAAGTGGCCAAGCTGGGATTTATGTCACATAGGCCTGACTCTCGAGCTCTTCCTCTTTGTCACTCCCTGCTTCAGGGATAATGGGGCTGCCTCAAAAGTTTCATGGTTTGCATTGTTGCGAGAACAGTTGGAGACCGAGTTCAGTGAGGACTGTTTTGCGTCAAGAAAGGAATGACTTCAGCAGTTGGATCCCATCAGGAGGCAGTGGGCTGGAGGGTTGGATCAGAGACTGAAGCTTGGTTGGGATGCTGCAGAGGGAACAACGCCCCAGCATTGGGCCGGACACAGAGACAGGACACCACTGTCAGCCCTCCTCACCCTGAGATTATAGGACATAGTCTTCCCAAATGCCCAATTACAAAGCTAAGTTGTCCCTTGAAATGGTTTCCTTCCTTCCTCCTAATAAAAAAGGTAATATATGTTAATTTAGAAAGTTTGGAGAGAATATGAAGTGTAAAGAAGCAGAAGAGCAATTACCAAATTCCTGCACCCAGAGGCAACCATTTGGTGATTATTTCCTTCCAGTCTTTTCTCTGTGTGTTTTTGAAAAACATGTCAGAGCATAACGTATATGAAATTTCATATCCAGCCTTTTCATTGGAACGGCATCTGGTTTCTCATTCAAATCTAATTATTCCCTGATCATCAGTTCATTTCTTTTTCTTTCCCAGAGAAAGACTCTTCATAGTATTACTGTAGACCGAGGGCATGGGGTGAGTGAGCAAAACCAAGCACGGTCAGTTAGGGAAACAGTTATTAGGCCAGTTTGCTTAGAGTGGAGCATTCTAGGAGGGCAGCAGCAGGAGATGGGGAAAGGGATGCTGGGGCCAGATCAGGGAGGGCTCCGTGCCAACCATTAGCACTTGGGGAGCAGTGTCGCTTGGTGGCTCAGAAGGCAGGCTCTGCCCAATTCACACCGCAGCCCTTTTCCTGGCTGTGTCACTTTGTCCAAGTCAGCCACTCTAGCTTCAGTTTTCATATCTGTAGAATGGGAAGACTAATGCTATACCTACCTTATAGAATGGCTGTGAGGCTTAGCACAGTGCCTGGCTCGTTACAAGCGCCTGGTGATTGTGAGCTCTTACATGAGGCCATGGGAGCTGCAAGGAGGAGCTGTCTGGGGTGTCAAAGTTAATTTGGCAGCATGCTGGTGGGAAGGGAGGTGACAGGAGACCGACAAGGAGGCCAGTGCTTCAGTGTGGGTTTGAAGGTGAGAACCTGGTTGAGCTAAAGAGGACATCCTAGAGGCAGAACAAAGCAGGGCTTAGGGAGGTCAGCTCGAGGGAGAAGTCAACAGTTCTAGAGAAGACTTGTGTCGGCTGCAGGAAAGGGGCCTTTTGGGCAGGGTGGGGGCAGCCTCCTCTGTCTCTACCACAGAAGCTCTTGAGCAAAGCAGATCAGCTGTAGTAAGAGTGTTGACAAGGGAGAGAGGGAGGGAACAAGGGGACTGGCCGACTGTCCTTTGGGCAGAAGCCCAGTCCTTACCTGGCATCCTCCCACCCGCTTCAACCTTCCTGCACAAACACACCTTACTTTTTTTTAACCTCAAGATTGGTATTCTGAATCAGTAAGTGTAGTTTTGAAAGCAGGGCCTTTCAGTTAGACTCTTGGAGTCGCTTTGTGAAAGCAGGAGTACGTCAGGCCTTGGCCCCATCGAGGACTGCACTGATCTCTTTGGCAATCCCTTCCCTTCCCCCTGGGTCTCTGAACTGCTTTAGTCTGAGAAGGATGCTGCTGTTGTGCCTTCCTTCTTAATTGTTTCTTTAAGAGATCGAAAGTCAGATCTTCACTGTCACTGGATCAGATAAAGGAGAGGAAAGGGTCAGTTGTGAAATGTTATCTGTTCTGATGCTTGTAAAACATCCCTGTTACTCAGGCATAAGCACTAGAAGGATTATGAAAGAGTGCCCTACCCCAGGGCCAGGTGGTTTTGGCACAGTGGGGTCTGCTGTATGGTACTGGGGGAAGACCGGCTCCTGATGCCTGAGTCAGGAGGCACTGCCTGGAGAAGGTGACACCTGCCTTATGGTGGACTTAGCTCTGGGAGGTCACTCCAGACAGAGGGAGGGGCAGGGCTTGTTCTCTGAGGTTGAAGAGGTACAGGAGAGGAATGCAGCCCAGGAAATGGGGAGAGGGTGGCTGGAGATGCTATCCGGGCCAGATCTCACATGGCCCTCTGTGCTGTGGTCAGGAGTTCAGACTTGACCTTGAGTATAACCATCAGATGGGAGTTTTGTAAGAAGGAACAGAGGTTGGTTGGGAGACAGCTCAGTCCCTCCTTGCTGTCAAGAGTAGGAGGCGGGCACAGATGGCCAGGGAGTACCTTCACAGGTTGAGGGATCAGCACCCATCTGGAGGTGGGATGCACTGAGCAAGCTCGTGCTGGGAAAACTCCACTTTCTGGAGTCAGGGAACGAAGTGGCATCCAAGAAAGTGTTTACGGAAAGTCCAGCTACATAGTGACTTGCTTTCTCACTTGCTTTCTGTCCCATTTGGCCTTTGATTTCATTGATTTTCAAATCTTCTGGGATGGGACAAGGGCTCCCCTTGGTTTTCATTAAGGAAACCAAGGACAGACCTGCCCAAAGACAAAGGACACCTGCAATTCAGCAGAGTCTGACAGTCAGCCACCCTTAGACGTTAGGATTGTAGTGGGCTGAAGAACCCTGGCCTCTTCTTAAGGGTGTTGGTATTTCACATCATCATGTCTCCTGGCTAACTATGATTTTCCCTTCCTCCTTCGCCGTTTGGGCAGCTGGAACACTTGGTTTCTGTTCCAGTTAACATATGCTCTAACCTACCGACTCATAGCAGCAGCATTGCTTGGAGGTAGTAAACATTCGGAAAGGAGCTTTGTTTTATAGGAACAACTGCAAATGTGTGGTAAACCTGTCTCTGGGTCCCTCCCAGGCCTCTCCCCTTGGAGGAGGATGGATTAATATGGTTAGCATATTCAAAGCAGAGGATAAGAGAATTTCCAGACAAATTTCTCCCTAGAGTCTCCTTACATTATTAGAGGCGTGGCCTGGCAAGAATCCTGGATTGTAGCATCCAGGTTTCTTGAGCAAAGAGATCGTATCTCCTGATTTTCCTGGATGACTAACTCCCACTTCCAAAGCCAATGCTGTCATACAAGGCACGGTGCCCAAGTATGATCACTCCTTGGGGACATCAGGGTGAGCTGGTTTGACCAGGCAGGCCTTTTTTTTTTTTTTTTAATTTGAGAAAGAGAGTGAACACGAGCAGGGGCAGAAGCAGAGGGAGAAGCAGACTCTCTACTGAGCAGGGAGCCTGATATGGGGCTTGATTCAAGGACCCTGGGATCATGACCTGAGCCAAAGACAGACACTTAACCAACTGAGCTACCCAGATGCTTCCAGGGCAGGCCTTTTATGTAATTCTCTAGGCAGAGGTGCTTAAAAGGTTAAATTGTACTGATTAAAGTCCTCCCTCATGCTGGGGAAGTTTCTAGGCTGGGCCAAAGTCTGTGCCAGCAGGGCCTGGGGCCAGGACTGCTCTGGTGCAGACAGGCTTCGGAAAGGGGAGAAAGGTCACAGAACATGCTGGCAACCATTTGTAATGTGTCCTTCCCTCCCCCACCCTCTTTTCCCAATTCCTACCTTTCTCTTCTCTTTTCAGGAAACATCTTTACCCAGCAGCCAAGTTACTATAATGACCTGGATGAAACCATGCCCACCATCCTTCAGGTACCAGCTCTCAGCCCTGCCCAGATCCCCTCCCCAACCTGATAGTATGTCCCTGGACTTTCTTGGAAGAGCCCCGAGAAACGTTTACTCCCCACCCCTCGCCAGCCCCATCTCCAGACAGTCTCTGTGTCCTGCCCCTCAGTACACCCTTTCAAATTCGCCCTTTTCCCCACTTGAACAGAACTGAAATCTAAGGGCTGTCTAGCACTCATACAAAAAGAGCTTAAATTGTGTGCTGTTTGCCAACAGCCATAAGCCTCTAAGGACACCCCTCTAAGAGACCGGTGTTTCTCAAATAAGAGCTTTAAAATTCTATAAAACTGTTTTAGAATATAATAACATTCATTGCAGAAAATTTGGAAAACATAAACAAAAAATAAAAAATGGAAAGAGGAAAATTAATCCTACCGCCAAGAGATTCTACCATTCACGATAACATTTAGGGTAATTTCGTGCTAGCATACTTAAAGATGGTGCAATGAGTTCAGGACTTACGTGATTTTACGATGGGCTCTGTTTTCTTCTCACTGTTGATTTGTCTTTGATTTCAATGTATTTCCATAAATTGCCGTCTCCATAGAATCCAAAACATATGTTGTTGAATGTATATCTTAAATATTCATTACTATACACTTGCCCGGCATATTCATTCAGATAATTTCTACAGGCTTCTGGGGGCTTTTCATACATTTTGTCTTTTTTTTTTTTTAAGTTTTATTTAAGTAACCTCTACACCCATCATGGGGCTCGAACTCATGACCCCGAGATCAAGAGCCACACGCTCTTCCGACTGAGCCAGCCAGGTGCCCCTTTACATTTTGTCTTTTTAATCCTCACCACAATCCTGTAAGAAGAATAACCCCCATCATCCCCATTTTACAGTTTCCACTCTGACCCCGTGCCCTGTTGTTGTCTCAGCTGGTTTCTTGGGAACACAGGCACATATTCGAAAGATTCCAAGGCAGCTTTCAGATCACCCATCCCCGATTGCAGGTCAGGGGTCCTAGCTGCTGTTTCGACAGGATGTGGGAGAACCCCTTCTTGTGTTTCACAGGTTTTCAGCAATATCCTCCAGCACTGTGGTTTGCAAGGGGACGGGGCCAGTGCCACACCCCAGAAACTCGAGGAGAGGGGCCGGTTGACCCCCAGCGACATGCCTCTCTTGGTGAGGTTGCCCTTCAGCCCAGCCTCTTCTTGGCTAGCAGAGGACCCGACAGCTTCTTCCCCTGCTCGTGGCCGTTTTCCCCAACCCCAGAAGCAGCTATTCCCATCACACAGGCTTAGAGCAGGCTTTTTATTTTTCTCTGGGAGCTTCCTTTATGGGGTAGTGGAAAGAACCGGGCACTAGAGTTCAGACGATGGGGGTTCAGTCTTCACGTAGCTCAGCACAATGAGCTCATTCGTGTTATTCACTGAGCCCTGTGTTCGGTCGGCACATTTGTACTGAGGAGGCTCCAGTGTGTGCTGAGCCTTCAGGGTAAAGCAGCAGGGCCAAAGCAGACATGGGACTTACAGTCGGTGAGAGGTAAATAAGGACTATAGACATGTGTCAGGCCTTATGCTGAGCACTGGAGACAGAGCAGGAAAGAGGCAGCCGTTAGCTGCCCTCTTGGAACTTGCAATCTTGCGGGAAAACGGGCATGAAGCAGGTGTTTCAGAAAGAGGCACACCAAGTTCTGTGGGAACAAGTCGTTTTACCTGCCTGAACCTCAGTTTCCTAATCTGTACCACAGAGATCTGAACAGCTGCTCAGCCTACTTTTTAGAGTTGTCAAGAGACTCCAGAACGTGTATAAGAAAGCACTCCGTGTTCTGTATGGACTTGATATTCTTGTCCTCAATGGGATATTCCTTCTGTGTAGGACCATAGTCATTGTCTTTAGGTTCAGGGGTTGGTTCTCCTTCAGCTTAGAGCGAGAACTGTATTACCCTAGAACTAGAAGTAACCCCAGAGATCATTGGGTGGGTGCCCATTAGAGCTATGGCAGCAAGACCTGAGGTAGGGAGATTGAGTAACTGGTCCAGATCGTGCTCCTAGAGATGGACCAGCCAGGCTTCACACAGACCTCCAGTGATCTCTTCCCCCGACAAGGCATCTGCCTGTTGGCTCCCACTGGTTTTGTCAACCTTGTCTCATACCCACCACAGGGCTGTGTATGGGGGCGGAGGAGAATAATGCAGTGTTTTCTTTTGGCAACAGGAATTAAAAGACATTGTTCTCTACCTTTGTGATACCTGCACTACGCTCTGGGCCTTTCTGGATATCTTCCCCTTGGCTTGCCAAACCTTCCAGAAACATGACTTCTGTTACAGGTACAGCAGTAATTCCGACTGCTAAAGTAGAGGTTCTAGTTGACATCCTCATTCAGCAGATATTGCTGGGTACTTAGAATGTGCCGGGCGTGCTTTCAGCCTGGGGATACAGTAGTGAGGAAGACAGGTAAGGCTCCTGCTTGTGTGGAACCTGCATTTTATCTTTTTTTTTTTTTTTAAGATTTTTTTTTTAATTTATTTGAGAGTGGGTGCCTGGGTGGCTCAGTCGTTAAAGCGTCTGCCTTCGGCTCAGGTCATGATTCCAGGGTTCTGGGATCGAGCCCCACATCGGGCTCCCTGCTCAGCGGGAAGCCTGCTTCTTCCTCTCCCTCTCCCCCTGCTTGTGTTCCCTCTCTCGCTGTGTCTTTCTCTGTCAAATAAATAAAATCTTTAAAAAAAAAAATTTATTTGAGAGAGAGAGCAAGAGCAAGCATGAGCAGGGGGGAAGGAGCAGAGGGAGAGGGAGAAGCAGACTCCCTGCTGAGCAAGGAGCCCCATGTGGAACTCGATCCCAGCACCCTGGGATCATGATCTGAGCCGAAGGCAGATGCTTAATGACTGAGCCACCCAGGTGCCCTGGAAGCTGCATTTTAGAAGCATTTCCTTTTTTTTTTTTTTTTT